GCCCAGGTCCTTTGCCTCTGCTATTAGTACCAGCTGTAAAGACAGCTTCCTCTATTTTGTCAGTATTATTTGTACTTGTGCTGGGGGTAGAAGTGCCTTCCTTGCTTTTTATAGAAAGTAACCATGTTTGCCCCTCATTGAACAAATCTTGTTTTGCAGCAGGATCCCTAAAGGCAGGTTTTCATGTACTTGCATTATCCTAAAACTGTCTTGTTCATCTTCATAAAAATTATTTCCATAATATAATTTCATGTTAGGTTTCTACTTTGGTTGATTAGTGGCATTAGAGCTTGCAACTTTTCTCAGATTAGCTATTTTTAATTTTGTTTCAAAAGCATTTGATGCACATATCCTTACTGCAAAGAATTCCTCCAGGAACCTGATAGTATTGTTCTCTCTTACTCTCTTTACAGAATAGGTTAACTTTCTCATCAGTAACAGCTACATGTGAGGACCATGTACTATCACTCAGCCTTTCTAAAATAAAAATCTTGCCATCTATGGATCCTTTTTGTTTCTTGTGTTTATGTTTGTTCTCCATCTTTCCTAAAGACTGTTTCTGGTCAAAGATTTTTTGTCTTATGTTGTCATTTGCACTACAGCTACTGAGCTAGACCAAATCAGCTTTATTTTGTTTAGGGTAAACTCCCACTAGAGTTTATCTTCTTCATTAGGTAAAAGATTCACTAGGAATCACAGTAAGCCAATATGAATCCAGAGTAGTTCAACTGGTTTCACTTAGAAATACACTGCTGTAAACTAAGAACAAAATTGAGATTATCTTTTGCTTTTTGTGTTCTTTAGTCTTTATCTCCCTCTTTATTTGTTTATCTAGTTCTCAGTATTCCTATCCTTTCTAATTTCTGCAGAATGATTCATGTTCTCTGCTGATGTTTGATTGTGCTGATGAGCATATCAATGTCTGCTTTTCTTTCAGCTTACTCATTAGAGCATGATACTTTAATACAACCCTCACTAAAAAATCATCTATTCTTTCTCACTGAAAGCTCCCCAGACACATGTTTTCTTGTGTTTATTTTTTGGTCTTACTCTCTACTCTTATAGTATCTGTTTTTATGAGACAAATTATTAATGGTACACCTTTCAAATACACATCAGTACGGTAGCCTTCAGATTCACATTAGGAAATTTTAGCACCTGGACACTGCAAATTATTGTTCTGGTGGAACAAGAGTCAGTATGTGCTCTTGTAGGCAAGTTTAAGATGAAAGGAATAGGCATTTGCAGTTACAGATCTGGAACCATATAATCAGTTGGTGTTAATGCTAGCATTTCAATCTTTCTTGTGTTACTTAAATTGTGCTTTTTCCTCTGTATCCACTGGGCACTGCTGGAAGAAGCAATGTTCTGATCCCAAGGCTGGTTTGGCTCCCTAAGTTTACTTGAACACAGAATTAGTTATCATAGAATCATAAAATGGTTGGAAAGCATCTTAAAGATCATCCTGTTCCAATCCCCCCTTGCCACAGGCAGGACACCTTCCACTAGACCAGACTGCTCAGAGATCCATTCAACCTGGCCTTGAACACTTCCAGGGATGGGGCACCCACAACTTCTCTGGGCAACCTGTTCCAGTGACTCACTACATCTGATCTAAATCTCTCAATTTAAGATAATTCCCCTTTATCCTATCACTATCTATCCATCTAAAACATATCTCTCCCTCTTTTGTATAAATTTCCTTCAAGTACTGGAAGGCCACAATGAAGTCTCCCCAGAGCCTTTTCCAGGCTGAACAACCCCAACTCTCTCAGACTGTCTTCATAGGTGCTCCATCCCTTGGATCATCTAGATCCTAGGAAGTCCACATCTTTCCTGCACTGAGGACCCCAGAGGTTTATGCAGTGCTCCAAGTGGGCAGAGGGGCAGAATAACCTCTCTCCACCTCCTCTTTGGGTGCAGCTCAGGATGCCGTTGGCCTTCTGGGCTGTCAGGGCACACTGCGGGCTCATGCCCAGTTATATCTGACCCAAGAGACTGTCCACAAGGATGTAATTCCAGGTGTGTAATTTCAGGTGTAATTCCTGCCTTTCTCCAGGTGTGTCCCTGAACACATAACCCACAGGGACTTATTGAAAGCTGCTTTTCTACTCCTTTGTGGCAACTGACTGAGGCTTAGCATTGATCCCTTGCTTGGAGAAACAGTTGAAACTACAGCTATGCATCCTTTTAGTCTGTAGAAAAATGGGTTCACACCCCACTTCCAACATGTTCATGTACTTTATTTTGTTACACTCAGTTGAATACTTTGCACTAGAAAATAGTTTCAAATGCTAATATTCGCTGTACCTTTCGAATTAATTGCAATTTGAAAGAAGCCAGTAATTTAAGCCATCCTTGTGAACACCTTATGAGAGAACAACCAATTAGAGGCCCCATGGGAAGGGAAGGGAAAGGAAGGGAAGGGAAGGGAAGGGAAGGGAAGGGAAGGGAAGGGAAGGGAAGGGAAGGGAAGGGAAGGGAAGGGAAGAGGAATCATGCAGCCCACCCAAAGAATTTTCAGGAAAACAAAACAAAAAAGAAAGATACCAAGAACAGCAATCAGTGATTAATTTTATCATAATATCCGTAAAGAGAAACAATAAAAAGATAATGGTGGTGTAAACTTAGAAAATATAAAGGCAAATAGACTATGAACTGTGTACACTGGTCATGTAAGATGAGGAATTGTGAAGAGCTTTGTAATACAAGAGTGACTCAAGAAGGAAATCCCACTCAGCACAACATTTAATCTTTGGAATGTGTGGTTGCTTGGTGTTATCAAATCTTCATTAGGAAATTACATAAGATTTAGACAGGTAAGGTACAAGTTGCTCAGAAACAATTTTCTGTTTATCTATAGGGTAAACCACTAGGAATACTTCCCAGGGCATGCTGATAACTACCTGAGGGGAAAGGATTTCCCTCCACATTGCATTACACAAAAATTAGATGCATTGTGAAACTTACAACTTCCTCTGAAATACTTGCAGGAAACACAAAGGAATCAGGAAGTAGGACAAGGGGTGACTCTTAACCTAGTCAGGCTTGGCAAATCCAGCATCTCTGCCGAAGTACAATATGTATCATTTATATATAATGTATTTGCCATGCTTGATTAATTTCCCAAATTAACTTTTTATCAGTTATTCATCATTTGACTCAGCATTCAAAGGTAAGCATCTTTCCTTAGTGTTACTACTATGACTTTCCAGCCTAGAAGTTGAAATTTTCTAAAATGACTGCACTGGAATCTCTGAGACACAAATAGTATCCACTCAGTTATCTCCTGGCACCTATCAGCTATTCATGGCTGTATGTTCTATCACATGACAACTGGCATTTTATTATCTTCTAAGCAGGTTACATTCAGATATGATCTTCCTGAGTACCTGGTAAGGACCATCCAGTCTTTGGAGACTAATTGATATTGCCTTTAAGATAGTATATAGGATCATCGGATGCTATTAAATTCTGGGTGATAATAGACAAAAAAGATAATTATAAAATGAAAATCCTGCCTAAAGAATGAGGTATACTTTGAGCCTCAAATGGATTTGTATCAATAATATTCTCCATAATTATTTTTAATGCAATATCCAAGTATTGTAAAACTATATATATTTGTATTGCTAGACTTAAAGTACAGCACCCAGTTCTGGGTAAGAGCTGCTTCTAGCTAATACCTTCCTGCAAGTGCTACTAATCCTTGAGCAATATTCCATTCACCTTAAGGTGCAACTTAGCCTGGGTAATGCCTAGTTCTTGCTGCTGTTCAATCCTGATTAATCTTTATACAAGCTCCTCCCTCTCCAGTCCCAGTTTCTTATTTACTGAGGGAAAAACAAGAGTCAGAATAATCTTAGACCATGCAGAGTTAATGTAGCCCCTGAAAATTCCATTTTCCTAAGAACCACTGATGCCAGACACCTGTTTAAAGGATATTGATTTTTCCTTTTTAAACTGAATCTCTATGAGTTTGTGCAGAAATTTTTTTTCTTGAGAAAAATTGTCTTTCTCTACATAAGAAATAATTGTCTCAAGGCCAAGTTATGGTATTCCAAACAATTTGACAGAAATTACAGAAAAGTACTACGTGATCTGGGGTGAGCCAAGTGACAGAGAACATTTAATTTCAAAATTCTATCAGAGGCATGGTCTGCTTAAGGAAACAGAAGGAGCTGGGCAGAGCATTTTTTCATTTTCGCTGCTGGGTGCTTTCCAGTGAGATATCCCAAGATATCATTGTGTCGAGGCTAATGCAGCTGTCTTGAGCTTAATAAAGAGGACCTTTTTTTCCCCCCTAGTTTTCAATCTATTCAGTAGTCTTTCTGAAAAGAAAACAGTAACAGCTGTTTATCAAAAGTAGTGCAACACAAGGTTCATGTTTATTCCATTGTTTAAATCTCACATCCAAAAAAATGTTTTTCTTTAATTCTTTTTAATTAAACCACTATTTGCTACTTAAAGCATCACAAATACTCACTTCAGACAGTATTGAAAAACTTTCACCAACAGAAGAGGCACTAAGAAATGTACATCTATTTTGAAAGCTGGAATATAGTAATGAAATGTTAGGGACAGTTGAATTAAAAATATGGCCTTTACTGCTTCAATTTATTTTTTATTTAGTTGAATATCTTAAATGCGTATTGAAGTTTCCATATCTGAACCCTTTTCCCTGCACTGTCACTATGGTTATAGCTCTGCTGACAACACAGGAAAGTTGTACAGCCTACAAAGTGTCTGAGCTGTACAGTCCTGCACTGAAGCAGATCCTCACCTGACACTCGTCTCTACCTCAACAGCACCTATTCCAGGACCCGCAGCCCACCTCACACCCTGCTTGAGCACACCACCCAAGTTTTCCTTTTAAGAACTGTTGCCATGGCAAGGAGTTCCTGTATTCCTTAACAGCAGTGAAAGATGCCCAACTCAGTAGGGATAGCTTAGTTAAGCAGAACAACTTTGCTCTCACAGTTTGCACCTCAAGGTCCTACCTTTGACACTTGAAGGGGTCTTTTCTGCTCTGAACCCCCTTGCAGGCGGAAACCCCAGGGGGCACCTCCAGACAGAGTGATGAGCATTTCTTCTTCAGCTCCCATGATTTCTGTGCTTTAGATATTTTGTCTTCACAACTTCAGTACAACTTCAGACTCCAGTTCTTAACAGGCAGAATCTTCTATTCCCATATTCACACCACCACTCTCCAGTCCTCACAAGGCCCTCTGCTCACTTTCTCCTTGAAGTTCACACACATACATACACACACACACACACACACACACACACACACAGAGTTGAGACTGTCAAGCCTAGCCTTCACTGCTCTTCTGGACTCTCAGCTGCTGCTCTGCCTATGATTAGACATTTGATTCTGCCCTTGGTAAGGGGCCAGAGTTGTCCTACACACGTGTCATGTCAATCTCACCCTCTGTACCCCCCCGCATACATGATGGATCCCTCACCGGAACGTGGCTGAAAATAGCACACCTCCTGTCTCTCCAGAGCTTTGTCTGACACTCTTAAAGCTGGAAGCATTTCAACTAAAAACTTATTTCCACTTTGCATTCTACATGCAAATTTTACAGTCCCTCAGTACTCGGGATCCGTTAGTTTGAGTTTCAGGCAAGGACATGTCACAGGCACAAACTTGTACAAATCAGGTGACAGCACCTGACCCTATGAATTGAACAAAACCAGCTTGCAATTAACATGCTCCCCACTTCTATTTTCTCCATGTAGCTAGTGTGTTAGTACACAGCAGCACTATGTGCCTGCCCTGAAAGCCACAGGCTTTCAGACTATAGATATACTGTGCTTCCTCTGCAGCGTGCTGCTCCCCAACATCCTCTACAGCCACTCGTAACACTAGACACTGGGACCAGAATAGCTGGGATTAGCTATACACACAGGATTCACACAGTTCTCTGCAGGGGCACTGCTTACATGGAATCACTGGCCAAGAGAGCTCAACCAGGTCATAGAATCAGAGAATAGTTTGGGTTGGAAGGAACTTTTAAGGATCATCTAACCCAATCTACCTGCAATGAGCAGGAGCATTTTCAACTGTATCAGATTGCTCAGAGCCCTGTACAGTATGACCTTGAGTGTTTCCAGGGATGCGGCATCTGCCACCACACTGGGCAACCTGCTAAAGTGCTTCATCAGCCTGGTAGCAGAAATTTTTTTTCCTTATATCTAGTCTAAATCTACCCTCTTTTCATGTAAAACCCTTACCCCTTGTCTTGTAACTATAAGCCCTACTAAAATGTCTGTCTCCAGCTTTTCTAAGAGCCTTTTATAAGTATTGAAAGATCACAATAAGGTCGCCTCAAAACCTTCTTCAGACTGAACAACCCCAACTCTCTCAGTCTTTCTTAGTAAGAGAAGCCTTCATCCCTCTGATCATTTTCTTGGCCTCTCTCTGGATGTCCTCCAATGGGTTAATGTCTTTGCTGTGCTGAGGACCTCAGAGCTGGACACAGGTCTCTGGATGGGGTCTCACTAGAGTGGAGCAGTCTTTCAGTGGTTTTTCTTTAGACAGATACAAGTTCCTAGCCATCCCAAGCCAGGGAGTTCTAAAATAATTAAAGTCCATGTTTACCCTTTTCTACAAGGCATAAAACGTAATTTTCTGCTCAGGTCTTGAGGACAAGCTTACCCTTAAATCTTCCTTATTCTGCATGTGCTTAGGTCTCAGTGACTAATATCCTTATACTGTAACATCCAAAGGATGTACTTTTGCTGGGATGCCATTGTTTGGCTGACTTCATTGCCAGTACTATAGCACCACTCATCTGGTGCCATTGCATACTGGTGGTGGGCACAAACCAACACAATCACAGAATCATCAAGGTTGGAAGAGACCTTTGATATCACCAAGCCCAACCATTCACCCAGCACTACCACTGTCACCCCTAAACCACATCACCCAGCACCACATCCTGCTGCCTCTTAAAACACCTCTGGGGTGGTGACTCCACCACAATCCTGGGCAATCTATTCCAATGCCTGACCACCCTAACAGTGCAAACGTTTGTAATATCTAATCTGAGTCTCCCCTGTCTCAGCTTTAGACCATTTCCTCTTGTCCTCTCTGTAGCCACAGAAGAGAGCAGTCCCCACTTCACAGCAATCTCCTTTCAGGCAGTTGTAAAGGGCGATGACATCCTCCACGAGCATCCTCTTCTCGAGACAAAATCCCAGGTCCCTCATCCATTCCTGTAAGACAAGTTTTCTAGACCTTTTCTAACCTTGTTACCCTTCTCTGGACATGCCCTTTCTGAAGTGAGGGAGCCACTAGGCCCTACTGAATGCAGTACTTGAAGGGTGGCCCCACCAGTGCCGAGTACGGGGGGACGATCGCTCCACTCTTGTTAGCGGAGAGTGAACAACTCTGCACCTTGGTGCGGAACTGGCCCTGGTTGCTCCCCTGCCGCGGTCTTTCACAGGCCGCTGGTGGGACAGGCGGCCAAGGCCCGCGGTCAGTGGCGGCCGCGGCTCAGCAGCGCCCGGCCGAGCCCGGCTCACGCCTCAGCTGCCCGTGCGGGCGGCGCCGGTTCGGGCTGCGCGAGAAGCAGCCCCGCAGCTCGGCCCCGCAGCCCTGCCCCGCAGCTCGGCCCCGCAGCCCTGCCCCGCAGCTCGGCCCCGCAGCCCTGCCCCGCAGCTCAGCCACGCAGCCCTGCTCCACAGCTCAGCTCCGCAGCCCGGCCCCGCAGCCCTGCCCCGCAGCCGCCTCCCGCCCCGGCCGGGACGTCATTGGCCGGGGCCTCCCGGCGCCTGCGCCGCATCCGGGCCCCGGCGGGCGGAGCGCGGACGTGGCAGCGGCGGCGGGGAGCCGCGGGCGGGGAGCGGCGGGGCGGGAGCCGGAAGTGGGCCCGGCAGTGGGCCCGGCAGCGGCGGCAGCGGTGGTGAGTGAGGCCTGAGGGGCTCCGGGGGGCCGGGCCCACCGCGGGGCCGTGCGGTGCCCGCTGCGGCCGGGCGAGCCGGCGGGCGGCATTGAGCCCGGCACCGCGCCCGGGGCCCGGAGCCGAGGCGGTGCCGCCGCTGCCGCTCCCTCCTCCGCCGAGGCCCGGTGGCGCCCGGTCGGGTGACGCGTCGGGCCCACCGTGCTGCGCGCCGCGGGAGGCTCTGCAGAGCCCCGGGGCTCCCCGGAACGCGTCCGGGCGGGAGCGTCCGCATCGCCCGCGGCCCGGCCGGTGCCGGCGGCCCGCGGGGCCGGCCCGGCTGTCGGCGGGGCCTGCACTTGCAGAGCCTGGGCTGCCCCGAGAGACCCGTCGGTGTCCCGGTGTGGTGCGGCGACACCCGGCGGCTGCGGGTCGGGCCGTCGCTCCGGCACCGAGAACCGAGTGCTTCTTTTTGGTCGGGGTGCGCCGCGAGTCAAGATACCCCTCTCTAATCTCCTGTAATCCGCCGGTCCTTCCCCTGGCGTTTGTGCTGTGCTGTTCAAGATTTCATTCATTCGAGCTTTGCAAAGGATGGGCATCCCTTGCAGAGATCTGGCGGCTGAGATTGGTTGGATTGGTAGTAAAACTTAGTGGTTGTGTGGCTGTGAAAAAAGGAAGGAGGGAAGTAAAGGAGATGGCATGATCGAAATGCAAGTGTAGTATTGAAAAGGTGGTTATGCAAGATGGGACTCTTGCTTTCCATGTAGATGGTGCTTTAAATGTGTTTTATTTTCTGTTGGAATTTGCTTTCACTCTTTCTGAGATATGCTTTTGATGGAGTACGGTGAACCTTAGTTTCCTTTAGGTTGGTTGTTTGTTTGTTTGTTTGTTTGTTTTGTTTGTTTGGTTTTTTTTTTGGGGTTTTTTTTTTTTTTTTTTCTGAGAGGGTTTTCTTATCTTTTTAATTTTGGCCGTAGTTGAAGTTCTTTTTAAACTTACTGGCTAATGGATGTGGTTGCTGGGACATAAGAGAATTGCTTACACCAATGTCAGAAGTTATCCACAGGAATTAATGTCCTGCCAATTAATGCACTGTCATTGAAAATACAGATTTTTTTCTAGTTTGGTACTGGGTTGATTGTTAGCTATTAATGTGATAATTCCTTAAAAATATTTCTAGATGCATTTCTGTTAAAGGATTCTGTAGTCAGGTTTACCAAATGTTGTGAGGACTGTTGGACAGATATCAGTATCTGAGGCGTAACATACAAATTATTTTTTGTTGTTTTTACAAGCAGTATAAAATCACATCACTGAAATGGGAGATGACTACTGATTTTGTACTAAAGTCTTTCCTCTATATTAATGTGAAGTTTTCATGAGTAAATTTAGGTAACTCTGGCTTTAACATTGTATTTTTCTTTCCCACAACCTTCTCTTAGAGTAGGTGTTCCAGTTATAGGACAGACAGAAATGTACGTAGCCAAAAACTTCCAAGCTTTCCTCTTTAAAGGTGACTTACTTTCAATCACATACATACACTCTGTGAAAACATAAATATTTCTATCCATTTTCTTGTGGAGCAGGTTCTTGCTAATGGAACTACCCTTTCTGGCTTGAAGTTGTGCCATTCAGGATTCTTTTATTGTTGTAGACAGAGTATGAAGAGGACATCAATATAAAGAATATATAATTGCTTCTTAATATGCTATGACACTCACTCCAGATTTTAATTTAATGGCTGAAAGCTGACAGCTATTTAAAATATTATTTCTTTGATGAGTGGCTTGGTGCTTTTACTTCTTTGAATGTTGTTTCCTGCTGTGGTAGGATTATGTTATCTTCCTGTAACACTTATTATCAGAAGGAGGGTCAAAAATCAAAGGAAAAATTGATGGTTGGCTAAGGAAGGGCAAGGTACAGAGTCACTAACAGTAATCAACAACAAGGTCTCTGCAGAAGAGAGGTGGATGTTTCTTGTTCTTTATATTTGAAAAGATGTGTTAGGGATAAATTGTGAATATAGAGGTTGTTTTTATATGTTTAGCAAGATTAATTGTTAACACAGAACGCATTAAAAGACAGTATAAACTGGCAGTAGGTATTAGGAAAAACTAATTCTGACCTTTTTTTATTTCTTGCAAGAGATGGAAATTATGTAATTTGTATTTATGTAGAGGAAGTCAGAGCACAGAGGTGGCCAGTGTTACAATATATTAGTGTTATTTCCATTCTTCCTTTCTTCCTTCTGGCCTCTTCCCTAGAGTTGAAACTGCTCATGTAACTTTTTCTAATCCATTATTCTTGTGCAAGAGTCACAGAAATTATTCAGATTACTTCACTCATTGTAACATATGTCCACATGTATGTGGAGGTAGCTAGGAAACAGATCCTTCGCTATGGTTTTGTTGATGCTGTATTGTCAGTGACTCTTGCCTCCATGGGGTTGCTCTTTAGAAGCCATGCTCATAGCAGAGTGTTTTTCAAATCTTTTCCTTGAGTTTTATTACAGTGATAGAGATGTGAATCAGTCCCACCAGGAGACTTGAGTCAACAAAGTATAAAATGTTCTTGAAGTAGAAATCTGGTGGTGATGGCAGGGATTGGAAGTATTGGTACTTTTAAAGTTAGGTCAAGACTAAGCTGATTTTTTTTGTGTTCAGTTTTTAATCACTTTCACTCTTTTAACTTGTGTACTGTATTGTACCTTGCCCAGGATGGTGAATCAGCCTAACAAAACTGGGTTTAATGTGTCCTTCTTTAAAATAATATGGAAGTGATCACACCTTAGATTCGCATTGAAAACTGTGTCTTATACTTTTCTTGAACTGTTAAAACAAATGTTTCTGGCAGTATCTAAAAATGCGTAGATGAAGAAAATGTTACCTGTGGTGTAAGAAGTTAAGAATCTGCACAGGCAGGAAGAGAGAGTGACACATATTACAACCAGATTGGAGTGGATTCCAGTATTGCCATTTTGGTTGACTGGGACAAATGTGTGGGAGGCACTTGTTACAGTGGCCTGTGAGCTTACAGATTAGTTGGCAGTTTCTGACTTCTAGGACATTAGTTTCTTTTCTGGGATTTTCTACAGAAAAAAAAAACAAAAACAAAAACAAACAAACAAACAAAAAAACCCACCCAGTAATTTTTTTATATCTGAAAAGAACCAAGTGTTCCATGAGTGCTCATAGAAGATCTAGTCAAGCTGTCAGTGAAACAAAAGCAAGG